GACTTTACAGGGCTGGGCCTGCCACTCCTTTTGGCATGCTCATTTTGCCCATATCGTCTTTGGCAATTTCCCTAGTCATCTGCAATTAATTCAAAAAGTTTACCGCAGGAGTTAATTGATCATGATGACTGGCAGGTACATTAACTCAAAAGCTAAAAATGCTCTTGCTCTCAAAGACCCCTTCCATCCTGGAGCCTGGCTGCAGCTGTGCTAAGCCTGGTGGGTTACCCTTAACTGATGATTCATTTTCATGTAAGTTGAACTTGTCCTTAAACAGCTGCTAGTTATTAAAGTTTAATTTTGATCAGATCCTTCCTCAATATTTAGTAATAAAAGTCCAATTCACCAAGTTTCCAGGTTTTTCAAAAATCACTTTTTCGTTTCTCAGTTAGTAATTTTAATTGAAGGAAAAAGGGGAAAAAATCTCAAACATACGAAAATTTTTACCACTAAATCTTTATCAAAATCTTTTTTTTTCTATAATGTATTTATTTTTATCATAAACCCAACAGGCAAAGGCCAAATTGGTTTCAGTATCTGGCATGGAGCCTACTGCAATATTGATGATATAATATCAATCATGATTATAAGTTACTCTGTTACCATTATGTGAATATTATTTTATAAGCTTTAATAAGATGCTTGAGCATTTAAGATAAATGGCTTAAAAGTCTAAATTCATATTCATGCCAAATACTTAGGACACAGTTTTCCTAATTGTTCTAGTCCCTTGGGTCAGTAACACAGTTTATAATCATCATAAAATTTCATTCTTAATTCCTTTTAATTTATCAGAAGGAAAATATGAATGGTTATTACCCAATTAAAATACTCCTGATGCTTTTAAGGTAAACATTATGGGGTTTTTGGAGTTTCACTGAAGACAATTAAAAAAAGAAGGAGCAGCTGCATGACTTCAAAGTGTTTTTAAGTGCTTCGAGTTCGCAGAGATATTCAGCTGTTCAGTGGTGCCCTGTTCCCACCTGTCTTGTTCTCGTATCATCTGTGATGTAATCAAGGAACAGGAACATTTTACGCATGTGAAAGGTGCGGGAGTATGTGACTAGAGATAAAATTTTCATTTAGTAGCTACAGAATCCATTCTGATTCTTACAGATACTTTGCTTACAGTTGCCAAGAGCAGGGACTTGGAAGAGGGTCACCAAAAAACCTGAGACATATGCATGAACCTGAATCTACCTCCTGGGTTGGACACAGTGCCACTGGCATTGTGAGAGACACAAGAGAGTACACTTGGAATGGACACTTTGTCTTTACTAAAGGTGTTTTCTCTAGATGATTCACACGCTACCTGCTAGAAAACAACCTGGGAGGTGCCTGTTCACAACCCAGTGCGGCAGACTCTGTTACAAAGTTTACAATTTCTTCCAGAGAAATTAAATGGATCAAAATGATTAACATCCACAAAAAGAAAATGCATAGTCATCAAAATTGCATTCCAATTCATCATGAAGGAACTACAAACAGAATTTAGCCTGACATTCCTTGCTCTGATACACTCAGTTTCCGTCTACTTTCTTCTCTATTTGGTCAATCCATAACTGTATGGAAGTCTATTTTTATTTCCTTCCCCTCATTTATCAGAATATCTTAATTTCATGTACATGTGTCCAGTTCTCTGAAAAAAAAAGCCCCTAAAGTTCATAAACTTCTAAATGTTTACTTAATATTAAGATAAAAATACTCTTGGTGAGAAGTAAAGATGTCTTATTTGTGCCAAGGTTTTCAAACAACTGGTGAGCCTCTGCAGGACAAGCTGAGTCTCTACTGTGGGAGCAGCAGGATTAGGTGGTAGATGAGTCAAAGGCAGAGTTATTCAATTACAAGCAAACAACTCTCATTCGTGGGGTGTGTTATAGCTCACGAAGAGCTTTAGGATGCACATGTTGGTTGCATCACTGGGTAAAATAAGCATACCCACTATTTCTAGAAACAATTCACACTTGTCTCTTAGTACACTGTTCATTTGTAAGTGATATTTTCTTTTTAAATAGACTAATTTTCACTAGAAATATTGAACTTTAAGATGGATATTGTAAAAAGTGATAAAGTAGTATGCATTCTTTAGTAAAAATAATGCCACATTTTGAAAAGAACATTGTTGGTTTATTACTTAAATGGGTTTCACACACTATGGCACATTTGGCACCAGTTACTGTGTTTTGCTGTAGCATGAGACTCTAATGCCCGAGCACTATTTACTCCTGTTCTAAAAAGCTATGAATTTTGATACACGGCTCCTCATTATGAAAGCTTACCTCTTCATGGCTTCACTCAGGTGAGGGTATGGCTCCAGGCTTTTCTTTTAGGCTCTCTGACCTAGACGAATGGAGCTTGGAAGCCGGCAGCAGCAGGCGCTGACTTGCAAAGGAGGGCCCCATGGCTGCAGGGCTTGCTGCCTTCACCAGCCGGGGAAATCTAGCCAGGGCACATGGAGTCACTAAGTCTTCCAAAGCAGGAAAGGAGCCCCAACTTTTAAGAAGGCAAGCCAAACAGGTGACAAACTGCTGTACTTCAAAGACAGGAAATCCCTTCAAACGTTAAATTGTAAGGAAACAAAATGACCTACATTCAGGAAAATGGGGAGCCAGTAATTCAGCGTCATGTTTGTTCCAGTTTAATGAAGCATGTTTGGTGGAGATTAACTAGTCCTGAGGATCCCTAATCTAAGTAGATGGCAGCCTTTTCCAGCAGAAACCCACGTTTTCAAGATCTTATTTTAAAAAGGTCGCTTGAGTTCATATCAGATTGAAGTTACTATGTAAAGACTCTTTCTGGGCCAGTTTTTACCCTTAACATTAGTTTGGCTTAAAATTACAATTACTCAGAATGTTTAAGAAGTCTAAAAATGTTTTCAAGTGTTCCTGAACATCAAAATTAAGGAAAGGCATCAGCCCAGAGTACAGCCTTGGGAAATGAGCAGATGGACTGTTTAAAGTTTGAAAGCCAGCTTGGAAGCTCCCCAGTATCAAGGCACGGATTCCCCAGTAGTTTTTCCCAGCTCCAAATGCAAAGTCTAGATGGTTTTCTTGCCAATCCCCAAAAGTGCTTAGGGTTGTGGATGTTGTAGTTTGAACCATATGCCAGTACTAAATTCCTGTCCAATTCGCTCAGAATAAAGGGAGGGCTGGGGGTGGGGACGGCTGAAGGGCAGAGAAATGGCGCATGCTATTTTCTCATTGCAGGGCCTCTGTTTCCCCAGCACACGGAAGTTACTGAACAAACGTTCAAGTGGGAAGGAAATGTATGGGTGAAAGCCAACCTCATCTCAGAACAAAAAGTTGTCCTGCCGTGTTTACATTTTCCAAAAGCAAAAATCCAAAAAGGGTTGAGATTGGAAAATTCCTAGGAAACCAAAAAGCTTAACCCACATTCCACAGTTTTATCAATTTAAGCCTCTTTAAGCAAGGAGGTCAAACTTAACTCTGCTTCCCGCTTGCAAAGCCAGTCAACTCATTTTGTATGTACAGCTATAAACTGTTTGCAAGTTTCCTAAGTCAGGCACTCAGGGTGAATTATGAATGGAATTAGCGAGCTTGACTTGGAATTTCCTCACTTTTACTAGTCTTTAAACAAGATTTTTATACATTCATATGTAATCGATGGGACCAACACATGAAATTGCCCTTCACATAAAACACTCTGTTTAAGAGTGATTTTGCAGTTAAGGAAACCTAAATATGAACTTCTAATGTGGAAAAGGTAGTTTTTACATGCTGTTTTAAAACTGATGTGGAAAACTGATGAGCTGGCCACAAGATTTCTGTCAGAAACTGAAATTAAGTTTATATTTTAAAATACAATTGTAAATGCTTGCTTTCTTTTACAAAGCCAATCTGCTTCTCATATTCTTAGCCTTAGTTACCTTAAAAATACATAAATTTGGTATTTGGTTATTGAGTTTTGAAGTTGCAGGGTAGAATAATTTAGATATTCATAAATACAGAGCACAAGAAAATCATTCCTGAGTACAATATTACCTTTAAAATTATCATCCGAAGGAGTGAATGCCACACCTCCTGATTTAATTTCAGCTATTAGCTATTTCATACCTTTATATATGTTATACAACTTACACTCTCTTAAAATTTTTCCTACAAACTGGCATGTTCAAATTGATTTCAATAACAATTTGTGTGCATAAAAAAATGAGATCAGGATCAATGCCAAGTTTTAGAGAAAGAAATGAACTTGAATTGTGTTTTACTCCAACAAGGCACATGTTCAAATTTATCACATGTATATAAAAAGATTAGCATAAAATACTTCTCAATTGTTTATGTAGAAAGTAAAAAGGAACAAATTCCAATAATTTTTTATTATATAGCTGATAAAACTAAATATTTGGAACATTAACGAAAGGTACTAATTAAAATACACATAAAAATTTCAAAGTTTAAAAAGCAGTTGGATAAAATACTCCTGACTCTTAGAATATAATTGCTTGCACATCTTAATGGTCTTATAGATTTCAGTGTTAAAACGTGTTTACAAATTTCACGTTGCCTTTTCAAGTTCCTCAAACATATAAAGAGCCAAGAATAGTGTTCTATTTTCTTCATAACAAGTTCAAAAGTATTCACCATCTTGACAGAACTGTATATTATTGTAATATTTTTTATACCTGATAATGGCATTATACAGGTTAGAAAATAGCCTCTCTTTATTCTTTTTTCTTTTGGAAGGAGGAGGAATGGTGTGAAAGAACCACTTTAAAACATGCTTTATATTCATTTAAAATGTTTAAATTCCTAAGTTTCTTTACAAAAATCTTTGACCTCAATTTTGTATAGACTGCATTTACAGGCTTGGAAATTCTCTTCTCTCCATTAAACTCCTTAAATAGGGTTGTATTAATCTTATTTAAAAATTTTTAAAAAACTACTAACAGCAATCATATATCTAGCTGGTGAGAGTTAAAAATAATAGTTGTGATGTTTTAATATCTATGAAAGTATTTTTTGAAGGACAGATGAACTTTAATCTGAAATGGAAGACATAACAAAACAGCACAAGTATAGTTTCCTTTTGAACTTCATAAATCAACGAAGAAATGTTTATCATAAATTTTTAAATGCAAAACTTTTAGTCTGAACTATTGAGAAAATCGTAGGTAGTAAAAAATGTGTTTCTGTACTTCCATAAACATACTTGCCCTATATTCAAAGGTGACACTGACCTACCATATTCACCATTAACTGTGTGCAGGGAATGGCTCGAAGACCAGTTCCTGAGGGTCATCTGCCCCCTACCCCGGGGCAGGCACACTGAGTCAAAATGTAATTTTATTATTTATATCCATTCCTTTTAATTCTGTTTTTATTTGCTACAAAGCCTTTGTTAGCTAATGTCAAACCATACTTCAGTTGACTTGTTTGCTTTTCTATCCCTGCTGCTCCAGGCTATTTCAAATTTAATACTTTGCAAATGACAATAAACAGGCTTTTAAAAATTGTTAAAGAACGCCTTTTTCACATAACATAACAAAAAGTGTCTAAAACATGGGGATATAATTCCCACTGTAAACTCATTACATTTATTTTAAACCAGAAGTATTAAGCGAACATCGCTTATCAAGAGATCCTTGGATGCTTCATTTGTCCTTGAACATTAACTTTGCCACCTCACAATCAAATGCCCTTGCCATCTGCAAAATTAAAAATACAAGACGTTCTCATCCTCATAACCTATGCAAGCCTTTGCAGGAAACCGGAGTATCTTACGTGGTAACTTTAATTTACCTCTTTTAGGCTTTAATAACGATTTGCTTAAAAATATTTACTTTCTGGCAAAATGTAGCTCATTCTTAAATGAAGCTCAAAACCTTGGACATCTCTGAAGAAAAATGACGCCACGAAACGTGTCACTGCCCATTTCTTTCCTGTTTCACTCACTTCTAATGAACACGCTGTATTGACTCTCCAAATGGCAGCGTTGCCATCACCAGGAAACGCAAAACAAGCCGTGGCACACGTTGATCGTGTCTAGCAGCAAAGCCCCCATCTTTCATTGGGCACCGAAACCCACCTCTTACTCCCGGGAAGACAAATGGCTTTCAGAGCTCGCACCCTCTTGACGAACCTGCGCGGGGCTGTGTGGGGAGGGGGCGGCAGGGCTCGGGTGGGGGCTGCTTCTCCTCCCGACGGCGCAGACGGGGCGCTCGAGCCGCTTCCCGCCGGTCCCACAGTCCACTCGGAGCGGCGTGGAGAGGAAGTCGCTCTCCTTTTCCAGGCGGAGCCTCCGCGACGGGCTCGGGGGAGACCCCCGGTTGTGGGCCGCGGACCGCGGACGGGGACAGGAGGAGCTGGGACCCGGTGGCCGCCCGCGCGCCTCAGCAACCACCCGATGCCGGGCGCGCGAGTTCGGGCCCCAGGCGGGAGGCCAAACGCGGCCGGGTGGGCCGGGGCCGAGGGGTCCCCAGGGCCGCGAGCGCTCGGAACTCCCGGTGAGGTGGCCGGCCGGGGAGAACTCGCTCCCGGGGCCGCGGTGCCCAGCTCGGTCACGCACTTGAAACCCGTGGCGAGGCCCGCGACCCGCCGCCATCGGAGCGCACCCGCGGCCAGCGCGGAGCCGGACGTCGGCCTCGCTCGTCCCTCGGCCTCCCTCGGAGGGACGGCCAGGCCCGGAGAGCTCGCCTGGGGGACCCGCCCTGTCCCCCGGGGTACGGCATCGCGGGGGCGGGGGCATGGGGGGCAGCGCATCCCACTCCCGGACCCCGAATTTGAAAGCGGAGACCGAGGGCCGCCTGCGGCAAAGCTCGACTTACACTTCATTTTCTTCCGATTTGGAGAAAATGTCACAGGAGAGGGGGCAAAACCCAACAACAGCCCTAACTGTAAATGTGATTTCGCGGGGGCCGGGGCCGAGGCGTGCGCGCGGCGGCAGGCGGCGTGGCGGGGATTCCCGGTCTCGCAGCGCGCCCTAGTGGACGCCCTTCCCCTCGCCGGCTCCCCCGCGACAACCGCTCCGTCTCCCGTGCTCCTTACAATCTGCAATATATTATTTCTTCCAAAGTATTGACAATGTGTGAGACTCCAGTAACCCCGGAGCTCTTGTCTGTAATCAGCACATTTATTCACATTTAGGAGGAAAAATCCGGATTAAATCCCCGTGACCCTGGTTGGGTTACACTGTCATTTTCCCTGGATCCTCTTTTAAATCCACTCCACACTGCTTCTCTATTACATGCTAATTTAATTTTACTGTGGAAGATATTTTCAGCATTTGCTGAGGACAGTAAATTTTGTAGTTTATGTTATTTCACTTTTTATGACTTTTTAACACTTAATAAAATTTTATTAGAGCACTTTTGTGTTTACAAGGCCACAAAACTCTTGGCAGGTTGTCAGAAGTCCTTTTTATTATGATCCTACTGATATACTGCGAGTAATGAAATAATCATGTCCAGAAATGTATCAAAGGCCAGAGGGATTATCCCACTTAATAGCAACACAGATGCGCCCAGAAGAATGCGGACACGCGGCAGGACGGGCTGGGAGGCTGCGGGAGAAGGGAGGCAGCCCCCGCTCGCTTCTTTACCATGTCGGTTGCTTTCCTAAAAGGCTACATGCAGGGTCATGTGACTTTCCGCGTCTCAATAAAAAAAAAAAAAAAAAAAAAAAAAAAAAAAAAAAAAAAAAAAAATTTTTTTTTTTCAAAAAAGAAAAATAAAAACTTAATAAAAAAGAGGCAGGTGCCATGTAAACAGAGCATCCTGAGAGCTGAGTAATGGCCTGTTTACTCCAGCTCATGCTAGCATTTGAGCTGAGCCCAGAGGTAACAAAATGTGCTTTTCTTTTTATTCTCCTTGTGTGGGCATTTAAGGCTGTTGTAGTGGCAGTGGGGCTGGCTCAGCTTATCCGTGTCAGTCACTTTCCTCGCATTCCTAAGTGTACTTTTGTGGCATTTAAGCAGCCGATGGTGACATTGGTGTTGAGCAGTGTGCCTTCTACAGCCCACACTGAAGACACTGGGAGGTATCCAGGAGGGCACAAGGTGTCTTAAGGTCCTTCCCCTCTTGCCAAGCAACGCCTTTTGTTGTTGCTTTATGGTTTTATTTTGTTTTACAAAACGGGAACGATGACTTAAGGACTCTGCTTTCTACCTTGTGCCTGAGAGTCACAACATGCTGCTTTTTATTTATTTATTTATTATTACTATTATTATTATTATTATTATTATTATTGGCGAGACTTACTATGAAAAGGACTGAGATATTGCAGCTTTTATTGCTTTAAAAAACAAAACAAAACATTTCCTTTTCTTTTAAATAGATATGTGGTCATTTAACACACTAGTGTTAAGTTTATTCTTGCTGCAAAAGAAGGCCATTGTACTTCCTGACCCCGAGAGCAAGGTGGGTGACTTTGTTTTATAATTAAATTTTCTGTTTCCAGCTTCCTATTTCTCTTTCTCTGTTATTTCCTAAATAGTGAATCAAAGTGATAGAAGAGATGAGAAATGGACTCATAAATGGAGTGATTTTGAAATTACTCCTGCTACGACCGTAGCACATGTTCTTCTAAACTTTGGCTTTGAAGTATTTTGGCAATGTCTTTTACAAACAAGTGTGTGTGTGTGTGTGTGTGTGTGTGTGTGTGTGTGTGTGCGCGCGTGCGTGTGTGTGTTTCATGTTCCAACACATCACGTTAGGATTTTCTAATCTGTCACTGTTTAAAACAACTCCTGGGAAGCGCGTGCCTCTCTCTGGATTGCCTCTATCACACACATGTGTGTACTCTCTTATTCTGATGTACGTAAGGCAGATCGCAAGGGCTCTTTGATTTCAAAGGCAAAACTTCAAGGGAGCAGTTTTGTTCTTTGTGTGTCATTTGTAACCATGGACAAAACTTAGCACCTGGTCTAATAGTGTGCCGTGTGCCTGTGGTGCTGTAGGTTTTGAAAAGAGCGTATGAAGGATTATACACATCCCTTTAAAAAACTTATGTCCTGAGACTATTTGGGCAGTCATTTTTCTCTTTTTACAGTGTTTTTCACCTGCAAATATGAAGCAGTTTTGCTTTTTTCTCTTTTTCAAATTATTTCTAACAGTTGAAGAACTAAGAAAGGAAGTGATCTTAGGCTCCGAGCAAACATTCTTCCTCCATTCTGGTTATTACTAGTAGTTTTTGTTTTCCTTTTACCGCAAGAGACATAAGACTGGGCAGAGAAAAGTGTTCAGATTTTAGTTCTCCAAATTTCATAATGTTTTACACAAGGGAATTTATGCCCAAGTACGGGAATCAAGAGGAGCATATTAATTTTTATTCTGCTATAAAGTGACACTTCAATTTTATAAGTAATTTGTGTCTAGGACAATTTAAATAATACTTCAAAGGCTGCAATAGCTTTCAAGTTAGAAATCTGTTTTATTAAATTATGAAGTAAATCTCCCCTAAGGTAGATATTTTTAACACATTGAAATATGTTTGTAATTCTTATTAAAAAGAGCAAGATATCAGCTTAACCATGATAACTGATGACACACAGCTTGGTCTGTGGAGGGCTCAACTCGTGTCCACAGGGATTTTACAGTCCCTTCTGAAACTTTTAGTTCTGAAAGAGTAACGCACCAGTCTTGTCATCTAGGGAATCCATCTTCAAAAAGAGGAGTAAAGGAACCAAGCCAGAGGCACGAAATGGTCCTCTCAGATGACCAGATGCTGTCAGAAAGCAGTAAGGCGTGCGGTTTACAAAGGCAGACCCAAGAAACATTTTGCTTGGTTCCAATGTAATTCTAAACTGTGTTACTCATGTGGCCTTGGACAAGTTATTTAACCTCTCTGTGCCTAGTTTCTTCATCTGTAAAATGGAACAGAAGGTAATATCTTCCTCCTAGTCTTGTTGAAGGGTTAAAAGAGTTAATTCATGAGATGCTTAAAACAGACTCTGAATACTTGTTAAAACAAACTTCAGGGGCCGGACCGGTGGCGCACTGCTATAGTGCGCCGCTTGGGAAGCGCGGTGGCGCTCCCGCCGAGGGTTCGGATCCCACATACAGACCGGCCGCTCACTGGCTGAGCGAGGGGCAGGAGCGACACCGAGGGTTGCAATCCCGTGGCCGGTCCCGGTCCGGTACGGGCGCGACACTGAGGGTTGCGATCCGTTGCCGGTCATGAAAAAAGACAAAAACCAAACAAACAAACAAACTTCAGGAAGACTGATGTAGCCATCACCTAGCACAGTGCCTGGTGCATAGTAGGTTAATAAATATTTGTTGGATGAATGTTGAATATTATTTCACTGACTGCTGTAGTTAGTTCAGGTGTGACCCATGGGGCAAAAACTAAGGCAATGTCAGCTTCAGGTGTGGACTTGACTGTGCTGAGAATGGACAGACAGCAGTCCTGGAGAAGTTGTGTCAAACTGCTATTTTACCTTCTCTATGGGTTCCTAGCACAGTGCTTCATACATAAGACACAGATCATTGATAAGACAACTAATATTCCACACATATCAAAGCACTCTATATTATAATATTATTACATAAACAGTAGTTGCAGGCACTATGCTAAATCCTTTGCATATATCGTCTTACTTCACCCTTCCGCTGATCTTCATACAGGTAGTCATCACAACCCCTGTTTTACAGGTAAGGAATATGAGGCTCAGAGAAGTCAAGTGAATTTCCCAAGGTCACACAGTTAGTAAATGACAGACCTGGGAGTTTAACCCAGGTCTTTAGAAATGTAGAACCTATGCAGTTAGCGCTACTCTGCCCTGCCTCCCATCTGCATGGCTTTATAGAGCCCCTTATCTATTGGGTCATTTACAATTATTGTGTAACTCTGACGAAAATGGAAATGATTAAGGCTGGGACCCAGGCCTATTATTCTTGGATTATCTTGAGTCTTGTGAGATGCAGTCCTGCCTCCCAGGGCCTTACCTGTCCTCAGCTCATTCTTCTACTATAAGATGTTTGAAAAGGGCCAGAGGAAAAGTCAGGGTTAATTTTTTCCTCCTTTGGAAAAATATGATTAAGCTGAATTTACCTCAACTCATACTAAAACATCAAGTGAGCAGGTTTCCATATGAGTTAAAGACTAAGAAAGCAGAATTCAGACAAAGGGGATGGCAGAGCAGTTTTTTCATTTAACCAAAAGTTCTTAATGGACTTTAAAGACATTTATTCTCCCAAGATACTTGATGGGTGTTCTGACCATTTCAGGGAACGAAGAACAGCCTGAGACAATAGGGAAAGCCGTGATCCACGTATAAGGTTATTTACTGAGTGAGCAAAGAGTACTGTGCTTTAATGACAAGATTAGTTCTGCACCCTTGGAACAAGTGTATAGAGAACCCCAAAAGAGGAAATGAAGGAGCCCCTGAGTTGTTCTAGGCAGTGTTCAGCACCCCGTTGGTGAAAAATTCATCTAAGGATACATTTCAAAAATGGATGATGAAAAGATGAGAGTCAGGGTAGCTATCTGGTGAATCCTATACTTTCCCTGAGAAGAAAGGTTTAGTGAGACTTCACCACAGCCAAAACAGTTAGAATTAATCTTTGACTCATGACTTTGTGATTGTTATTGCTGGGAAAGGGGAAGAGACAGAAGAGGAAATGAGGGATACCTCTGAAAACTCATGATTCCACAGAGACCAAGTTCACTGTGGAAATATGGAAGCATCCAACTCAAAGCCTGAGTTTACTGCACATTAATCTAGGGCAATACCAGGCTTTGGTGGCTTTGCTGGAAAAGAGTTCTCAGCTTTACCCGTCCTCTGACACATGTGACTTTTGGCATTTAATTCACCTCTCTGTATCTTAGTGTTCCTTGCTGAAAGAGAAAGATAATCAGATTTTTAAAAAGATGAGAGTCAGGGTAGCTATCTGGTGAATCCTATACTTTCCCTGAGAAGAAAGGTTTAGTGAGACTTCACCACAGCCAAAACAGTTAGAATTAATCTTTGACTCATGACTTTGTGATTGTTATTGCTGGGAAAGGGGAAGAGACAGAAGAGGAAATGAGGGATACCTCTGAAAACTCATGATTCCACAGAGACCAAGTTCACTGTGGAAATATGGAAGCATCCAACTCAAAGCCTGAGTTTACTGCACATTAATCTAGGGCAATACCAGGCTTTGGTGGCTTTGCTGGAAAAGAGTTCTCAGCTTTACCCGTCCTCTGACACATGTGACTTTTGGCATTTAATTCACCTCTCTGTATCTTAGTGTTCCTTGCTGAAAGAGAAAGATAATCAGATTTTTAACTCATGTTTATGGGGTTGTGAGAATTAAGGATACTCAGAGTTACTTTTGAGCTCTTCGCTATGAAGTCTGAATAATTTTTTTTAACATGGATGAGGAACCTATTTTGTCTTGATGAATATTTGATAAGAACAAGAGAACTAAAAGCAATGATCCCACCAAAATAAAAATGTAGCACTATCTACATTAAAACTGAGGTCAGAAATCTCTAGAAAAAACACGGAGGGAATAGAGGCTCAACCTGTATTTCAGTAGAGGTAGCTTTAGGCCATCAAAACTTTTAGGGACCTTGAGCCATTTTCTTCAAATTTGACTTGCCTTTCTGCATCTGTGAATTGGCCAAGTTAAAGTTTATTGCAATAACAGGTACATCTCTTTTGAAAAGGTCTGAGTACTTTTTGAGTATTTGATGGAAAGACTGTACGCTATTTTCTTTTTATGTATCTTTCAAACCAACTGCTTTGATGTAAATAAAATCTTTAAAAATGTATTCACCCTTTTTAGGCCAAGACTGAACATTTTGTTGCATGAAAGTCATGAGTGGTTGCTAAAAGGATATTATGAACAAAATGGTGTTCCAGGTGTAATCCATGCAGCTGGCCTGCGGATCAGAACTTATCCCTAAAGTTCCAGAATCTAAAATAAACGCAGTGATCAGCAAGGCCAAAGTACAAAACCCTAAGCAACAAAGCAGGGCAGGCTCTCAGGACAGGAAGCTGCTGGAATCTGGTTGCTAGGAGACACTCGTCTTTCGCTGGCAGCAGGAAGATGTCCTTGAGCGTGGCTTCCCCTGTGGTTGGCTTTGGACAAGCCGTGAATCAGACTGTCCTCGCTAGTGCCCCCTTCCCAGCAGGGCTCACAGTATAGGTACCACTCAGGGGTAATAGTAGGTCCTGTTCCCTCAGAAAGTTTCTCACACATACCTGCTTTTCTGACATACTTTTCTGAAATCAATAAGCATTTGATATGTCTACTCTGGGTTATGAGAATATAGTAAAAATAGCTCCTTGTGTGGTGCTTATATGTGTGAGAATTTTACATCATAAAATTACACCCTAAATGGTATGAAACAGCCTACAAGGGCTATAGGAAAACAGAAGGGTAAGAAAATTAGTTAATGGTAATGAAAAGAGGTCTGACAGAGGAGAGGGCACTGCAGCTGAGGATTCGCCTAGGGAAGGATGATTCTGACTGGGCGACACCATGTCTGCCATTGCAGTGCTCTTGTCTTTCCTGAAGGCAGTGAACGTGTCTTTCTTGCTCACAAAATATTCCCCAGCACCGAGGACAGTGCTTGGCAAAGAGCATGTGCTTAGCGTTGAAGGGCCAGATGAATGCAGAAGGAAGATGCCTGGAGATGAGTGGGGGGAGCCTGGGGGAGATGCTAACCGAGAGAATGTTAAATGAAGAAGGCTGGCCTTATTGGACCTGAGTGCCTTTATCAGAAAATGGTGAGAAATGAGGTGGGCCAGGAAAGGTGATGGAGGCTCTTAAAAACCGAACAGAAATTGGCTTAAAAAACTGTGGAGCTACTGCAGGATTCTGAGTCTGTGGAGGTGAAAGTTTTATGGTTTACAACTGTTCTTTCAAATGCATTCCCTCTTAAGTATGTGCAGTTTATTATATATATTTTACAACTCAATAAAGCCATTAAGAATACATGATCTCATTAGATGTCCAATATTTGGTGAAATGGACCTTATCATTCTTTCATTTTTACAGATGAGGAAACTGAGACCCAGATTGTCTCATGGCTTGCCTGGGTTCATATGTTTCCTATGACAAGCTAAGACTTCTGGTCCTCTGCCTTCATGTGCCTCCTTCACTCCTTTCTGAAGGCATCCTCTGCGGAGGGACTGTGAACAAGGCAGCCTGTGGCAGGGGAGGCCAGCTGGGAGGTGGTGGCAGATGGCTGCTTGTATGCATGCAATGATCCCACCAAAATAAAAATGTAGCACTATCTACATTAAAACTGAGGTCAGAAATCTCTAGAAAAAACACGGAGGGAATAGAGGCTCAACCTGTATTTCAGTAGAGGTAGCTTTAGGCCATCAAAACTTTTAGGGACCTTGAACCATTTTCTTCAAATTTGACTTGCCTTTCTGCATCTGTGAATTGGCCAAGTTAAAGTTTATTGCAATAACAGGTACATCTCTTTTGAAAAGGTCTGAGTACTTTTTGAGTATTTGATGGAAAGACTGTACGCTATTTTCTTTTTATGTATCTTTCAAACCAACTGCTTTGATGTAAATAAAATCTTTAAAAATGTATTCACCCTTTTTAGGCCAAGACTGAACATTTTGTTGCATGAAAGTCATGAGTGGTTGCTAAAAGGATATTATGAACAAAATGGTGTTCCAGGTGTAATCCATGCAGCTGGCCTGCGGATCAGAACTTATCCCTAAAGTTCCAGAATCTAAAATAAACGCAGTGATCAGCAAGGCCAAAGTACAAAACCCTAAGCAACAAAGCAGGGCAGGCTCTCAGGACAGGAAGCTGCTGGAATCTGGTTGCTAGGAGACACTCGTCTTTCGCTGGCAGCAGGAAGATGTCCTTGAGCGTGGCTTCCCCTGTGGTTGGCTTTGGACAAGCCGTGAATCAGACTGTCCTCGCTAGTGCCCCCTTCCCAGCAGGGCTCACAGTATAGGTGCCACTCAGGGGTAATAGTAGGTCCTGTTCCCTCAGAAAGTTTCTCACACAT